TTGCCAATTTTCCCCAATTATAGTACAATATCCCAACCAGGATATTGGCATTGATATAGTCAAGCTGAAGAATGTTTTCAGTTTCCATCTCTACAAGGATAGGATCCCTCATGTTGTCATTTTATAACCACACCTACCCATCTAATCTCTGGCATCTCCCTCCCTGCCCATCTCTGGCAACCACTGATCTGTTCTCCATTTTATAATTTTATCATTTCAGGAATGTTATATAAATGGAATCAGACAGTATATAACCTCTTGGGATTGATTTTTTTTTTCCCCACTTAGTGTAATTCTCTGGAAATTAACTCAGGGTTTGCCTGTATCAGTAGTTCATTCCTTTTTTATTGCTGAGTAGTATTCCATGGTATTCGGATGTACCACAGTTTAACCATTCACCTGTTGAAGGACTTCTGGGTTGTTTCCAGTTATCAGATATTTTGAGTAAAGCTGCTCTAAAAGTATACAGGTTTTTGCAAGAACATAAATCGTTTCTCTGAGCCAGAAGCCCAATAGAACAGTTGCTGGGTTTTATGGTTGTATATAAGGAACTGTTGTCCAGAGTGGTGGTACATTTTAAATCCCACATGCCAGTGTATGAGTGATCCCGTTTTTCTGCATCCTCCACAACATTTGGTAGTGTCACTATTTTTTATTTTGGCAGTTCTGATAGGTGTGTGGAGCTGATCGTGGTTTTAATTTGCATTTCCCTAGTGGCAGATGAGTAGGAATATTTTTTTCATGTGCTTACTTGCCAGCCATATCTCCTCTTTGGTGAAATGACACTTCTCCACTTTTTTGTATGTTAGAAATTTCCACAGTGAAATGCTAAAAGATTAATCCTTTAAATACTTCAGTGTTTTTTATGTCTATTTCTGGGTTTTAAATGCTTTTTTTGGTTTTTATGTTTATTTCTGGGTTTTAGTTTCTTTTCTGAGATCATTTGATCTGTTATTGTCACTAATATGTAGCCATTTTATGTCTGTAATTGAAAACTTGGGGAGAACTACTTTCTGTTTGTTGAAGTCCCTCCCCTTCCTTTTGCCATATGAAATTGATTTTATTTCTATAAAAAAATGTTCTGGAATTTTTATAGTCAGTACGAAAAAGGAAACACATTTCTGACTTAAATATGTCATTATATGTAGAAACACTTGAGCCTTTTGGGGCGCCTGGGTGGCTCAGTCGGTTAAGCGTCTGCCTTCGGCTCAGGTCGTGATCCCAGGGTGCTGGGACCTAGCCCCCGCATCGGGCTCCCTGCTCAGCGGGAAGCCTGCTTCTCCCTCTCCCACTCCCCCTGCTTGTGTTCCCTCTCTCGCCGTGTCTCTCTCTGTCAAATAAATAAAATCTTAAAATATATATATATATATATATATATATATAAAGAAGCACTTGAATCTTTTTTAACCACCTCAGTGTTGTTTGCTATTAAGACATGAATATGTTTAAAATTTTTTTAAAGTCATATTTGAATATTATAGTTTTCCTTGTGTCTTCTGAGTTCATTTGTTGCTTTCTTAAACAAATATTTGAGTGTCAGCTGTGTCAGGCACAATGCTAGGCACTGGGAGTAAAATCATGAGTCCACTTCAAATAAAAAAAGAAATCTTGTCCTCTCTTGGGCAAGCACTTATTACCAGAATGATAACCTTAATGAGAAGAAGATTCGATGATCCTTGCATAAGGATGACATACAAATTCATGTAGCATACCATTAAAAGAAAAGAAAATCTATCCATCAAGTCCCCACTCTAGAGAGCTATTAGCAGGGGCCTGCACTGCACATTGAGGGAGGAGCAATGTGCAGGACCCCCACAGCAGGAGGAGCCTGGAACACTGGAAGAGCAGTGGAAGGCCTCACAGTGGGCTGGGGAGAGGCTAGCAGAAAGAGCTACAACCAGAAATGCTTATTTCATGACCCCTTCTGTGTGACTTTGATCTTTCTAATTTTAGATGTCAGCTAGTTTTTATAATGCTAGCTTATTAATGTTTTCTGTATTGTTTTAACCTTTTGGAGTTTTTTTTCTTCTTTAGAGAGCACGTGCGCGTAAGCGCATGTGAGTGGGGTGGGGGGCAGAGGGGAAAGGGAGAGAGAGAATCTTAAGCAGGCTCCATGCCCCCCTGCTTAACTGAGCCACCCAGGTGCCCCATAGATTCTTTTGTTATTGTGAAATATATACATAGCTAAAAATCCTGTGTTCTGCCTCTTCACCCCTTCCTCCCCCAGCCCCTGGCAACCACTGATCTTTTTACTGCCTCCCTAGTTTTGCCTTTTCCAGAATGTCATATGGTTGGAATCATACAGTGTGTAAGCCTTTTATTTATTTATTTATTTATTTATTTATTTTTTATTAAGATTGATTTTATTTATTTGACAGAGACAGGCAGGGGGAGTGGGAGAGGGAGAAGCAGGCTTCCCGCCGAGCAGGGAGTCCGATGTGGGGCTCAATCCCAGGACCCTGGGATCATGACCTGAGCCGAAGGCAGACGCTTAACGACTGAGCCACCCAGGTGCCCTGTGTGTAAGCCTTTCAGATTGGCTTCTTTCATTTAGTAATATGCATGTAAGTTTCCTTCATTTTTTTAATGGCTTGTGAGTTCATTTCTTTTTAGTGCTGAATTTAGTGCTCCATTGTCTGTATGTACCACACTTTATCCATTATTGCTCACTTTCAAGCAACATCTTGGTTGCTTCTAAGTTTTGGCAGTTACAAAGAAAGCTTCTAATCTGCAGGTTTTTGTGTAGACATGTGTTTCAGCTCATTTGGGTAAATACCAAGGAGTACAGTTGTTGGATCATATAGTAAGAATATGTCTGGTTTTGTAAGAAATTGCCAAATTGTCTTCCAGAGTGGCTGTACTACCATTTTGCATTCCCACCAGCAATGAAGTAGAGCTCCTATATAGTTCCACATCCTCGCCAGCATTGAGTGTTGTCAGTGTTTTTGGATTTTGACAATTTTAATACATGTGTAGTGGTATTTGTTTGTTTTAATTTGCAGTTCCCTAATGACATGTTGATTATCTTTTCATGTGGGTTTTGGTGGTTGTGTTTTGGTTTGCTTTTTGTTTTTGTTTTTTGGTGAGGTATCTGTTTAGGTCTTTTGCCCATTTTTAATTGGGTTCGTTTTCTTATTGTTGAGTTTTAAGAGTTCTTTGCATACTTTGGATAACAGTCCTTAGATATGTTTTTTGCAGATATTTTCTTCCAGCTTATGGCTTATCTTCTCATTCTCTTGTAGGGGTGACTATTTTTATTATAAAATAATTTTTATCTGCCTCACCTGCTTCTTTCCTTGTGGAATATAGAAAGTACATCTTAATCTAGTTTTTTATTTTTCTCTGTATACATATCTTCTTTGAGTTTCCATTGTAGCACATACATATATTTTTGGCCTTTTAAAAATCCACTTACCCCAATCTTGATCGGTTATCAAATTAAATTTTTTGGAATTAGTTTTATTTCTAAGTTTATTTTTGCTTCCTCTTTTCCCCACTATATTGACTCTTCCCTTTCTTGTTCAACAATTGGAAATTTATACCTCTTTCAAAGTACAACTGTTTTAGTATTTTAACACTTGTCACACCATTTTTTTCTGTCTCCCATCTTTTTGTTTTTACTAATTCAGCTTAAAAAAGTTTATTGAACACATGTCACATTCAGGCACACACTCTGGTATAGACTCAGGATCGAAATTAGGATAAAACATGGGCCTGTGTAAACATCAAACATTATAGTTCAAAAAGAACTATATGGAATTAGCTTTATTTTTGCCCTTCTTCCCATCACTTACCTTTTTACAATAATCAATAGTAACTTTAATATTTTAGAACTTTTTTGTACCATTATAATGGCGTATATAATTATTTCATACAGATTCTTGGTATTTCTGCTAAAATTATAATAATGTTCATCTTTTTTAAAGATTTTATTTATTTTTTGACAGACAGCAAGAGAGGGGACACAAGCAGGGGGAGTTGGAGAGGGAGAAGCAGGCTTCCCGCAGAGCAGGGAGCCTGATGTGGGGCTCGATCCCAGGATCCCGGGATCATGACCTGAGCTGAAGGCAGACTCTCAATGACTGAGCCATCCAGGTGCCCCAATAATCTTAATAAATAGATCAATATTTGTTTTCCATTCTAATGTTAAGGGAAATGAAGTATTCTCTGCAACTACAAACTTCCTGACTCCTTTGGAAAAATCATAAAATTGTGTGTATGTTAGACAGTCATTTCCTGGTCACTCTTGTTTCCTTGCCTCTCGTCTTTAGCTGTGAAAGCTGTTGTTCGATCGCTCAGAACTTTAAGTGTCATGAAGTTCCAGAACAGATTTGGAGGGGTGCTAAATCTGTTTTGACATGTTAAAGATGTTTGTGTGGCCGGGGGGCAGGGCAGAGGGATGATCAGTTGCTATTATCGTGATTTCTTAGCATATATAGTATTGATATGATCAAACAAAAATGTTTCCTTAACAAGGAACAGTAACCACCATACTGCAACACATAGACTCACTGTGTATCTTATCCCGATTTCTCTCATTTTCCTGAGGACCAGTGACAGGTCTCTCACAGAGCAGTCGCCATCCATAAGCTGGTGTATGGGGAGCACCAATTGCGTATCCTAAAGTATTGAATTTTCCACTGTGGCCTGGCAAGGTCTAGAGCTGTTCCTCCCATGTGTGACTTGTCTTGGGTGTCACAGTCATTCCTAGCTGACTTCTTCCTTCAAGATCCAGATGCATGCCTTCAGGCCGCTTTCTAGATCAGCCGGTTTCTGTGCATGCTCAGAGAATGTGTACCTATTGTAGCCAAAGTCACATACAATTTGGAAAAATCAGTCTCTTGGTCAGCTAGCCCAGTAATGTAGTCTGCCAGTTCATAAATAGCTTTGGGAGTCCACCTATTACTGTTCTCTTTTATAAGAATACCTTATGACTGTTACTCTTTATACCAATTCTGCATCACATTGTGTTAAACAGTCCTGTTACTTTTCCCTCTCAGCGGTTTTGCGAGTGGCTGGTTCCCTGCAGAAGAGCACAGAAGTGATGAAGGCCATGCAGAGTCTTGTGAAGATCCCAGAAATCCAGGCCACCATGAGGGAACTATCCAAAGAGATGATGAAGGTGACCTGGGGCCACCCCTGCATCCCATTCCTAGCAGTCACTCCCAGCAGATGGCAGGGGGCTAGGGCCAGGGGTGGGCAGGAATGAACGGACCACTGTTGCCAGACATAAATGATTTTGAAGACAGAGGAGCAGCTCTTAACACTGGTTGAAACCGTCTGAGCTGACCAGAGCAGAGGCTGGGTCAGATTGCCAGTGTCCCAGGATCAGGGCCTAGAAAGGTCTTCTGCTGGTAGCCTTCAGACAGGGATAAGGCTCAGGAGAACACTGGTACTGAGCCCCTGCAGCTGTCCTATAGAGTCCTCCTGGTGACCCTGTGAGGGAGCTGGATTTTTACCCCATTTTACACAGGAGGAAATCGAGTCTTCAGGTTGCCAGGTAATTAACCTAAGTGACCTTGGCAGTAAGTGACAGATCTGGGGTTGGAACACACATGTCTGACCTTAACTGCCTGAGCTGTGTTAGAGGTGGTGATAGTAAGTTCCTCAGACAGGTGTGTTTCTCACTTTGGACTTGTGACCTGAGAGCCAACATTGTACACCTCAGATTCTTACATATTAGCTTATGTATAGGAATTGCCTTTCTTCTTCCTGGGGAATTTCATTTATGACCTTGAATTCTGTGTGGGGCTTTAGGGCGTGGGAGAGAGGAATGGGAGAAAATTGATGGAACAACAACATATAATGCCCAGAACCCAGGTCTTTGGAACCAGAAGTGTTTGGGCAGTAGTAGGGAGGAAATGGGGTCAGGAGTGTGTGTCCTTTAAAAGTGGTGTGTGGATCTTTTTTCCCAAGTTGTGATGACTGTCCATGTAGAACTGGATAAAAAGGTAATTCTTAGACTGACCTTAGGCCTGCTCATTCTAACTTATGTAGCCACCAGAATCTGAGGGGAAGACCTTTTTAGAATCTGGGGTCTTTTCCACAATGGTTTCTGAATGCTGAAAGGAATATAGATTGGGAGGAAGACTTGCATGTAATACATAATATTTACTGAACTCATTCCAGGATACATCCCCAAGTACAAACTGAAGCCTCTGGTAGGGGCCCAGCTCCTTGAGGGCAGGGACATGATGTTAGTCCTTCTGTTTGTTCCCAGACCCTGGCCTGTTGTGTGGCACAGAGCAGGCATTTGATGAATGGTTGCTGAGTGAATAAGTGAATAAATGAGTGAATGACTTCTACCTCCAGGATGTGGAAGGCTATTACAGTCAGGATTCCAGTAGGCTCTTTTAGCCAGTTACAGAGCATGTCCTGAACCTCCTCTACGGTAGCCTCCAACAGTAAGATGACATCCATTCATTCAGGTCAGAAGGCTCCACCTGCGTGAATTGAATTTGTTTCTTTGTAAATTTAGGTTGGGAGGAAAGGATCTGAGAGTGGGTAGAATATGGTTATTAGTCTGATTCATGTCATTAAGACATGAAAAGCAGGCAGGAGAGAGGGCTTGCTTTACATCTGATGCCATCAGCATGGCTGTGCCTTGCTAAGTGCCCTGCTAAGTGTGGGGGAGCCAGGGCCAGAGCTGCCACAAGTGCCCCTCTGCTCCTTGAACTCCTGGATTAAGGTACGAAGCAAGGGGCTCAGCTCTTGCAAGTGGCAAAGCAATTAGGATTTTTCTCTTCTGGCAGCTTCTCAGAAGCCTGAACCCATACTTTCCTTCTGCCTCTCAGTCCTTTCCCATCTCTTCTACCCAGGGATACTAGGGGCCTCTTTCTGTCACTGGAGGGTGCTACTAGGAACTTTTGCTTCAAAACCAAACAAAAAACAGTCAGTAGGGTCTTACTTGGGAAGACTGTGGGTCCGGCTTGTGTTGGGCAGTGTTGGAGAACGGTTTTCTTGTGCCCCATGTTGAGGACAAAGGAGGCTGAGTGGCTGGCTTCAAGCCAGGCACGGGGCTTCCAGTAGAGTCTGGGCGTTACCTTGTTGGGTCCAGAAACCTTCTTATAAGTTCTCTCAGGAATGGAGGATTGGTCTTTGGTGAATTGTTTGATCCTTGCCAGAACCCCTTGGACTGGCCCTGTACCAGCAGGTGTAACCTGGACACGCTAAGTACTCTTCAGGCCTTTTCAGGGTTCCATAGAACCCCATCTGCTTTTAGTACTTGTTATCATAGTATCTACGAAGACTCCACTCCATTTTCTTTTTTTTAAGATTTTATTTATTTGACAGAGAGAGAGAGATTGAGAGCACAAGCAGGAGGAGGGGCTGTGGGAGAGGGAGAAGCAGGCTCCCTGCTAAGCAGAGAGCCCGATGCGGGGCTCAGTCTCAGGACCCTGGGATCATGACCTGAGCCGAAGGCAGACGCTTAACCGACTGAGCCACCCAGGCGCCCCAGGGCACATGCTTCCTGGGAGAGCTCGGAGCACGCTCGTTTTCAGTAGGTTGTTTCCCAAGTGCTGTCATTACAATCTGGGTTACTATGTGAGGCTCTGCTGAGAGGGGGCCCCCACCAGCCCTGGTGCTGAATATGGAAAACAATTTCCCTGTGGCCTTTGCCTTTCTTCAGAGAGGAGAGACAGCATCAGTGTTTCTAGTGGCCATCTGTCTAGGTATTAGCCCTCAGAAGGGTGGTTTGGACTTGGAGACACTAGAGCTTGGGTGGAACTGGACCCACAGAGGAGTCTCTGGGGAACAGATTTGATATGATTTGTTCTGTCTTTAGGCTGGCATCATAGAGGAAATGTTAGAGGACACTTTTGAAAGCATGGATGATCAGGAAGAAATGGAGGAAGCCGCAGAAATGGAAATTGACAAAATTCTGTTTGAAATCACAGCAGGTATGGCCCTGAGATTCTTCCTCTTTCTCCCCTCCCTTTGTGGTCATTCTTCTTGCAGTCACTAAGTTATCTGGTAGCTTTTTCTTTAGGACTCTCTTACTTCTACATTTTTTAGACTATAAAGTTAGTTCTTGAAAAATAAACACAATATCCATAACATCTTTTTAAAAACTCCTAGAGTTTTCAAAATGGTAAGAGAAGCACTGCTCTCACAACACTGCCGTTGGGAGCTTACATTGGTATAGACTTTCTTGAAAGCAGTTTGGCGATAGCTGTCAAAAGCCCTGGACCTAATAGATTGATTTCTGGGAGTTTATTCTGTAATTGAGGATGTGATGAAAGATTTAATTCAAGGATGTCTGTAGTAGCATTATTTATCATATTGAAAAGTTTGAAACAAGCTAAATGCCTAATGACAGAGTATTGGTTGTATTGTGTTATATCTGTTTTAATGGAATACTTTATAGCTGTGGTAATGTGGAAATACATTCACTGACATGGAAAGATGTCCACAATATAATGTGTGAGAAAAGCCTCGTTACTGCAGTCCATACTTTTGTGTAAAAACCAGGCCTATAGAAAAAGTCTGGAAAGGGAACAAACAAAAAATAATAGTTATCTCTGAAAATTGATGAGGTTTTAAACTTTATTTTTACTTCTGGATATTGGGTCTTAGGCTTAATAAAAAAAATAGTGACATTTAGTTTTTATCTGTTTGTTTTAAAATTGTTTCTTTGTTTTAAAACTATTGGGAGAAAGACTAGTTGCTCCAGGAAAACATTTTGTGAAGGTTTAGAAACAATTTAGTTTGACTGAGAGACATTTAACATCTTCATCTTAACACTTAACATCTTGAAAATGAAGTATTCAGTAGTGTTTAGGAATTTAGACTAAATAAGAGTGTCAGAACCAAAATTCTAAAAACCAGAATCCTCAGTTATTGTAACCTTGGTCTCATGACAAGCTGGTGTTTGCATATTTGTCATAGTGAGCAAAACCTCATGCAAACAGCTCGTTTTATTGCCCCTTTTCTGTTTCTTGTTGGACTCTTCCAGGCATGAAAGGCAGAGAAGGATGAGGGACCACTTCTTTAAAATGATACGTGGCTAATTTATTTGCTGTTTCTTTTCAGGGGCCTTGGGCAAAGCACCTAGTAAAGTGACCGACGCCCTTCCAGAGCCTGAACCTCCAGGAGCGATGGCGGCATCTGAGGAGGAGGAGGAGGAGGAGGAGGAGGCCCTGGAGGCCATGCAGTCCCGTCTGGCCACACTCCGCAGCTAGGGGCCGCCCCGCTGGGCCCTCGGGCTCTTTTCCGGCCCACCTGCCAGGAGCGGGTACACTCCTCTGAAGCAGCACCATTTTATGTACCTCTTGCACTACACCTCTAAATGAGGCACTGCATTCTGAGAAGGTTCTCTGCTCCTATCTTTTCACTCTTTGCAGAGGTTTTGGGATCTCAGCAGGATTGTCCTTGAGAGTGGGGTTATAAATGCATCATTTTCAGGGGTATAAATAGAAGTATCTTTTGGGGGGGAGGGCAAAGGAATCTGTCTTCTCACAATGCATCATTTTCAGGAATATAAACAGAAGTATCTTTTGGAGGAAAAGGCAAAGGAATCTGTCTTCTCCTGAAGCACTTCTGAGGATAGAGTTGACTGCCTGAATGTTGAGGACTCTGCCTTTTTTTGTCCCTAAAACACTATTATATAAAATGGATTTTAATAAATTTCTGCTTTAACACTGGGTCTCATTGTAGATTGTCATGTGCAGTGAATTTTCAAAACAAGACTGTTTTGCAGTCTCAAATTACATGTTGACCTTGGAAGGGGAGGAAGTGCAACAGCCAGGTGTATGGGCCGTGGAAGCTCAGCACAAGAGGCTTCCGCTCTGAGGACACTGTTCTGCAGCCTTCCCAGATGCGGTGTGGGAGCCACACTTCTGCTTTCTGTCATCTGTTTACAACCAAAAGGATCCTCGAGAATTGTGACTCCTTGTCCTGTTGTCTGGATGGCTGTATTATGTCCTAACAGGTGTGTGCATGTAGTTTTTCTCGCTCTCCTTCCCAATGCAAACTGGCCCTAGAGCAGACCGCTGTGAGATTAGGATTCTCTCATCCTCTGATTGCTTCTGCTGCTGCTGCTGCTGCTGCTGCTGTTGTTCACCTCATTCGGGTAAATACCAAGGAGCACAGTTGCTGGATCACTGGTAAGACTATGTCTGCTTTTGTAAGAAACTGCCAAACTGTCTTCCAAAGTGGCTGTGCCATTTTGCTTTCCCACCAGCCATGACTGAGAGTTCCTAATCCTCCACATCCTCGCGAGTAGTTGATGTTATCAGTGTTTTGGATTTTGACCATTCTAACAGGTATGTAGTAGTAGCTCACTGTTGTTTTAATTTGCAATTCCCTAGTGATTTATGATGCTTAACATTTTTTCATGTGCTTTTTTTGTCATCTCTATATCTTTTTTGGTGAGGTGTTTGTTTAGGTCTTTTGCCCATTTTTAATTGGATGGTTCATTTTCTTATTGTTGAGTTTGAAGAGCTCTTTGCATAGTTTGGTAATAGTTCTTTTTCAGATGTGTCTTTTATGAAGATTTTTCTCCCAGTTGTGGCTTGTCTTCTCACTCCTTCACATTATCTTTCACAGAGCAGGTTTCAATTTAAATGAAGTCCAGCATCCCAGTGATTTCTTTCATGATCATGCCTTTGGTGTTAGATCTTAAGTCATGGTCATACCCATGGTCATCTAGATTTTCTCCTGTGTTAATCTCCTAAGAATTTTGTGTTTTACATTTAGGTTTTGATCCATTTTGATTTAATTCTTGTAAAGTGCTTAAGGTCTGTGTCTGGATTATTATTTTTTTTTTTTGCATGTTCCAGCACGATTTGCTGAAAAGACCATCTTTGTTGCATTGTATTGTCCTTACTCCTTTTTTAAAGATCAGTTGACTGTATTTATGTGGGCCTGTTTCAAGCTGTCAGTTCCGTTCCATTGATGTGTTTGCCTCTTTTTTCACCAATACCACACTGTCTTAATTGCTGTACCTTTATAGTAAGTCTTGAAGTCAGAGAGCATCAGTCCTTCAACTTTGTTCTTCAATACTGTGTTGGCTATTTTGGGTCTTTTGCCTATCCATATAAATTTTAGAATTCATTTGTCAGTATCCACAAACTAATTTGCTGTGATTTTGATTGGGATTGCTTTGAATCTATAAATCAACTTGAGACAAACTGACATAGATAGGATATAGTTTCATGATTGCATTTATCTGGCTCGTTTATTCACAGGATGCTCATAATCACTGAGCATTTTTGTCTTATGTGGATAATCAAAATTTATTCAGGTGGATGGATGGACAGAATATTTACAACCACTCTTCCAGCCATTCACATAAAATGATCTAAATGTAGGGTTGGTTTGTTTTCATTGTTTGGCGAGGTCCTGTTTTCTCCATTCCTGCTTTCAGGTTAAGGAAAGAGCATTGTTGGCTTATTGTCATGTCCTGTAGTCCATTTTCCCTCAGTATTCTTTTGGGCATCATTGGAAACAAGGAGAGTTAGATACTGTCCTGGCCCTGGAAGGTCCACAATCTAGGAAGGGAAATAATGGTGTAAATACCTGCAGTAAAAGTTCTCCTCTATCCTCAGCCTCTCAACTTAGGTCCAGCACTAGCAGCACCAGCTACCACTCTCTCCACCTTAACTACACACTGAATCTACTTGGTGCCCTAAAAAAAATAATCAGTGTCAACAGTACTCGAAATAACATCCCACACCACCAATCCATTTGTTTTTTTTTTGTTTGTTTGGAAATAAATATAGCTTACTCTAAAAATAACCATCCAGCTTGTGATGATCACTCACCATTTCCCTCTAGACAGGTTGTGACCTCCCTTTCCCCATCCCTCCCCACTCTCCCCATGTTGTCCATCATGCCTTGCTGAAGCACTTACCACTTGTACCGCTCACATGACCTTAGGCCTCCTGGTCATATATTTCCGTGTCTGTCTCAGAACTTCTGGAGAGGAGGGGTTATGACCCATATTTATTTCTAAATAGTACTAACCATGCCTGCCCTCTGGACCTCTTCCTGCCACCCAACTCCCAGCTGAAGAACTAGGACCACTTTTCTTGTCCTACTGTAGTGACACATTCTTCAAATGCTAATTGTCAATAGGAAAGGCTCTTACATGAAATGAGAAATTTTTGGTTCAAATAAACATAAAGCAGGTTTCTTTACAACTTTTCAGAGCCTTTCATATGCTTTTCCCAAATTTACTCAACCAAAACAGTTTTCTTTTGAGATGCCAGAAACAGCATTTCCTTAGCCACTGAAACCTTTTCAGAAATGCAAATCTAAACCACAGTAGGGAAATACCTTTTTTTAAGCTAATGAATTTCTCTTCTACATGTAATTAATTAGTTTTAAAAAATATGGAGTGACATCAGCAAAATGGTGGAGTAGACAGCTCCATACACCCATACCTCCAGAGAAACATTTTAAAAAGTACCAGAAACTGGGGCGCCTGGGTGGCTCAGTCGTTGGGCGTCTGCCTTCAGCTCAGGTCATGATCCCAGGGTCCTGGGATCAAGCCCCGCATCGGGTTCCCTGCTCGGCGGGAAGCCTGCTTCTCTCTCTCCCACTCCCCCTGCTTGTGTTCCCTCTCTCGCTGTGTCTCTCTCTGTCAAATAAATAAAATCTTTAAAAAAAAAAGTACCAGAAACTGTCAGAACCAACCAACTTTGTCAGAACTAGAAAGCAAGGGTTTACCTCAACCAAGTGAACACTGTATTAGAAAAAAGAAACTTTAAGAAAGCTTTGTGGCATTTTACTTGCCCTTGCCAAATCCCTCTCCCAACTTGGCAGCTGTCTTGAAGATAAGATAGATAGGAGCTCACTTTCTCAGTGTATGACTCTGGTCCCTAGTTCCAGTGAAACAGAGTAGACTTGGTCACAAATTATCTGTCTTTCCTTACCTACGGGCCATCCTGAAGGGTTAACACAAGGTGCTCATCTCTGGTTTGCCTATCTTGTAACTTAGGGTGGAAAAGCAGCAAGCACTGCTTGAAAACATGTTAAGGAAACAATTTTTAAAAAGTGAAACCACCTGGGGCAACGTATTAACAGTTGAGACATATAATAGCTTGCTTAAAACCTGGGAGGAAAAGCCAGGGAGAGGATTTCTTTGGGATATTAGGACATTCAAAAGCATGTAGAAAGCCACATGCATGTCCAGCACAGGAAATATCAGAAAAGATAGAAGACCCCAAACTTTCACCACTGGCTGATCTGCAGGCTTGGGCAAATAGGAACTGAAGGCTGAAACAGAATTGTCAATAGTCTGGCTAAGTGTTAAGTGTGTCCCAGCACAGGGCCAGTCCATAAAGACTGGGACAGGTGTCTTTGTTGGTTTGTTTTTTCAGGTCCTGGCATTCAAAGAGATCTCTGTCAAAATACTGACTGAACACAGCAAACCCTTAAATTAAGAAGTACAAACCCTGGGAAAGGGGGAGATTCTGATTTCCAGAATTATTCCGGAATATTCAGACGTCCAGTTTTCAACAAAAATCACAAAGCATACAAGGAAATTGGAAAGTATGGCCCCTTCAAAAGAAAAAATTATTAGAAACCATCCTCAAGGAAGCCCAGACACTGCACTTCCTAGACAAAAACTTTAAACCATCTGCCTTAAAAATACTCCTGCGGTAAAGAAAAGTAAGACAATGAACAAGAATATTAATTAGAAGTTATTAAAAAGGAAACCACAGGGGCACCTGGGTGGCTCAGTCGTTAAGCGTCTGCCTTTGGCTCAGGTCATGATCCCAGGGTCCTGGGATCGAGCCCCGCATTGGGCTCCCTGCTCCATGGGAAGCCTGCTTCTCCCTCTCCCACTCCCCCTGCTTGTGTTCCCTCTCTCGATGTGTGTCTCTCTGTCAAATAAAATCTTCAAAAAAAATAAAAATAAAAAGGAAACCACATAGAAATTCTGGACCTGAAGAGTACAATAACTAAGGTGCAAAAATACACCAGAGGGATTCAACAGATTTGAGTAGGCAGAAGAAAGAATTGGTGAACTTGAAGATAGAACAGTTGAAATCCAGTTTGAGGAGGAGAAAGAAAAACGAACAGCCTAAAGGACCTGTGAGACCATCATACGCATTATGGGAGTTCTAGGAGAAGAGAGAAAGAAATGATATTTAAAGGAATAATGGTTAAAACCTTCCATATCTGAAATATATGAATCTACACATCCAAGAATCTCAACAAATTCCAAACAATAAAATTAAGGGATCCACACTGAGACACATAGTCAAGTTGTTTAACAGTAGAGAGAGTGAATAATGAAAGCAGCAGAAGAGAAAACCAACTCCTCATGTGCTAGGGGAGCCTCAGTAAGATTAATTTCTCATCAGAAACCATGGATGTCAGAGGCAATGAGATGACCTGTTTAAGGTTCTGAAAGAAAAAAACTGTAAATGAAGAATTCTATATCCAGCAAAATTATCCTTCCAGAATGGAGGAGAAATTAAGGTATTCCCTGATAACAGGAGTCCTTCAGGCTGCAATGAAAAGACAATAGACAATAACTTAAAGCCATGTGAATAAAGAACACCAGTAAAGGCAACTTCACTGAAAAAGCCAGCTTTATACTTATGGTTTGTAACTTCTTTTTTCGTAGGAGTTAAAGGCAAATACATATAAAATAATTATAAATCCATGTTAATGAGCACACAATGGATAGAG